ATGGCCTTTTAGCATCCTGCCTTGAGTCTCACCTTAATATGGAGTAAGGAATTATTTCTTTCTCACTTTTGGGAGGTATTATTATAATCTAATTCAGGGTCCATGGGCAGGACTGCTATTTCTCCTATAAGGCATTTGCTGTCAGACAGATACAAATTGTTAGCAAATTTTCTAGCCTCCTTAATTACCTTTTCCTGTTCAATGTCTGATAAAGTTTGTCCCAGAACTACCATGATATCTTTCCAGGTCAGTTCATATGCTAAAGTAAGGTGCTGGAAAACACTATATATTTGTCTGGGTTGCCTGGATAGTTTCCAAGGCCAGTATTGATTTGCCTGAGCTCCATGAGGGAGAAAGGTTTGTGTATTAGCTGGATGCTAAATTCTCCTGCCGTTTCTACCAGGGACAAGAGCTTAGTTGTTGGAACAATTTTAGGCACAGAAGAAGCAGGTGCCTGTGGTTGTGCTGGAGACCCTGGGTACAAGGGTAGTGAGGAAGGCAGCAAAAAGGCCTTTTCTGGGATCTCTGGGGCTGGGATTGGTTCTATAAGCATGGGAATTCAAGGATGAATTATTAAGTGCCACATTATTAGGGTTAAGTTTACACTTCTTACAAAAATCTCCATGACCTCTCAAAAAGAAAAATGCTTGTGTATAGGGGATTTCTGACCATTTTCCAAGATGTTTTCAAAAGAGGTTGGGTTGTAGAATTGTGTTATAATTTAGGTTCCCATTAAGTCCCTAAACCCCCCTGTTACCTAGTTGATACTGGGGCCAATTTGTGTTACAAAAAAAAAAGAGAGAGAGAGTCAGTTTTTCTTTAAATTTTGAGGATTAAACTGTGACGAATTAGAAAGGATACATCTTAAGGGTGTGCCAGCAAGAATGGATTCTTGATTCCCCATTTAAAAAAGAGAAAAACACCATAAGATTAGAGAGCCCAGTGTCCCGGGGTCTAATCTGCAGGTTCTTGATATTCCAAAACCCTGAGTACTGGGGCAAAGGCAAGTCTGTGCCTGAGTTGGGGAGTTGTTGGAGACAGGGGTGAGCCTGCTGCTCTCCTTTTCTGGGGATTGCTCACCAGTCATAGGAAGAGTCTGGTTAGTTTTTGCATTCTTCTGGGAGCCTAAAAGGCTCAACCAGGGGTTGAAGAGGAAATTATAGAGGGTTAAAAGGGAAAATAGCAAGAGAGGAATCATGCAGGGTCTAGATACGAGCTTAGGGGAGGGAAAAGCTCCAGTCCCATTGAATCCAGCCTGCTGGCTAGAGGGAGTTTGAGTTGGATTCCTAATAAAAGCTGTAACACTGGGACTGAGTGAGTCATTAATCACATGTCTCAATAAGATTGTAGGCCTAGACTGAACTGACTAATCCACCAACAATGAGTTTCAGAATGAGGGAATACCCTCCAGGACTAATGGCCTAGACTGGCTCAATATCATGGGTCCTTGGGACTTAAACATAGGAGATATCTAAGGAGGAGATGAATCCCTGTCTCAGTAAAGAACCAGAGGGGCAGGTTATAAACCCAACTTTGTCCCCCTCTGCTTCTCAAAGGCACACAAAGGACAGGTTTGTAATAACATGTCTGCCCTTTCAAGATATTTTAGAAAGTGGATCTGATTTGACAAAGTACACAGGAGGTCCCTTGCCCCTTGTACACGCAAAAGGTCCCTTGTTCCCACTTGATGTGGGTACAATGGGCTGAGCCCAATTTGAAACGGGAGTTAAATGCAGGGCTTAGGTTAGGTGGGATTCAATGTGATGCACCAATGTTACATGGGGCCATAACTGGCCACAGAGCATTACAGAGTTGTCCATTAATAGCTTCTGGTCAGTGTTGATGCAAGCAATGTTTGTAGAAGCAAGAGAGGGGAGGAATAGCGTCACCACTTGCTGGGTATTAAAAGAGCATGGCCTTAGGGATTGGAGCTGCTCAGTTTAAAAACAAACAGAAAAACTATCCTTTCTGCAAGATAAACACAGAGGGTAGAGATGTAAATAAGGCAGCCAGGAAATTGCAGGAACAGTTCTATTTAAAAAGAGAGTTGAAGACTTATGTGCAAGGCATATTGAACGGGAAGGCATGGTCAGATGAAAGAGGCCTAGAAAGTCCAGGATTTTCTGCTGAAAGTTAAAATCTTGCCTCCTCTTCTCAAGAATTAAACCAAAATAGGGGATGTCTCCCACGGGTGGAAGCGTGATTGCTTTTGCAATGTGCCTTCTTGCATGGATGTTTGCTTGTGGCTGGTGGAGGACCTAGTGTCTCTTCCCTGGTCCACAGCCAGCTCATCATATCACAAGAGCCTTCTAGTGTTGAGCACCCCTGTGGCTCTTAAATGCTTAACTCAAGGCGGGGGGGAATCAGGAAGACTGTAATAGAATAATCAATAAAGTATAATTTAAAAAATGATCAACCCATGTCCATGGGGTGTGCCAATTTCTCCAGAGGGACAGAGCAAGATATCCGCCTGGTACAAACAAAATTGCCCCTCTTTGCACCTCTTCCAAGGAGAATTCAGATGCAAATGGAATTGCCAGAAACCACCTGGGGCAGAGAGGTGCAGCAAGCTTACAATGGACAGATGATTTAAACTTATCTTTTCTCTTGGCTGTGTTCTAGAGGCAGAAAAAACTAGGGAATTTGTGTAGCGGGTCTGAGTATGCTGCTTGTGAGTAGGGCTCCCAAAGACTGTTACACCTTTGGCCATCCCCAACTCTCTTATGTGCCTCAGTTTCTTCCCTGGCTGTCTAAAATGGCTAGGGAGGCTTGGAGTGATGGATGACCAACTCCATTTTGCACATCCCTGGAAAAGCCAAATTTATATTACAGTCACTAGAGTTTGCAACGAGGCCCCTCTGCGACACCTCTGCGGCCCCTACTCACATTGAGATGCCTAATAACTCTGATTGGAAGAGGGATAAAGTGCATCTTCAATCTTCGGAGCCTGGACTAACCTGAGTACTCATTATAGTTTTTATCCTTCTTTCTGCCACCAAACACAGGCCTAGCATATTTGAATAGTCCTCCACAACAGTGCTGCATCTCCCCTTTGGCCCAAGAAGGTGAAAAAGGCAAGAAAACATTGTCACTGGGACCATACTCACTGTATTCCAGGCAGTGGGAGACAAAGGGTGAGCATGTATCTGCAATCCCAGTCACAGCACCGTAAATGTTGTCAGAAACTCGGTTCTTCTTGCCAATGCAGTAAAGATTTACAGATCAGCAAGTCAATTAGGATGCAAGCAGAATTTATTAGTAATATGTTCTCAAGGAAGAGAATTGGCCTTGCTGGGTGGTTAGGAGACATAGGTTTCAGGTCCCATGTCCTGTGGACTTAATATACAATTTGTAGGGTGGGGTGAAGATTGATATGATATTAAGAGATGGGAGTTACATATTGATTGGCAGACAACGGTGGTGCTGATCATGCATGCTTTTCCATGGAGGACATGAACCCCTAAACATAGGCGTGGGTAGGGGTCTGTTCCCAGAGTCCTCAGCTTTCACTCCAGACAACATCTGGTCATCTATTATGAAACAGCCACCCGATCAGAGGCACTTAGTCAAAGTTACTTTGAGCTTTTTTTCCTTAAGAACGATGGGCCCACACCCATGCCTCCTCCTTCTGTATTTTCTATTTCCACCAAAAAAAGGGAAAAGGGGTGGCACCAGCAACGTTCAAACTGGGGAAACACTGAAGTATATTCTTCCGTCCAGCTTTGCTTCACCTTCTTCCCCCATATTTAGAAAATAATTTTTTCTCTTTGATGTAGAACATGCTTTCTTCTTTGCTCATATTTAATTCCTCAGAAAGGCTGGGACCATGTCACTCTTACTTTTCACCATAGCTTAGCCAAGGTACTAATAGCTCATGTGCACAGGCCAAGGACCATGGACGGTGCACCAACAATCTGCCATTTCATATACACGGATATTTCACAACAGCCTAACTATTTATGCCTTGTTCTCAATTGGTAAGTTTTAGTGTTGCTTCTACTGCCCTTCAAACCCAGCCTTCCTTTCATCTGCAGTCAGAGCCTCATGCAGTCCCTGCATTTTCCTTATACCTAGGATCTCCATTCTTGGTGACAGCTCAAACCCTTCCCACCCAATGCTATTCTTCCTTTCCCCATTTCCTGCCCTTTATTCTCTCTCTGTATGACCTAATACCCTGAGGCAGGCTTCAACATGAGTGTAACATTTCTCATTGGGAAATCTACTACTGAAGGCCAAGGAAGTGGAAGCAGAAATGCCTTTATTTTCATCATAAATAGTAATGCTAATAAACTTGTAAAACCTGTGTAACAGAGAAGAAACCAGAAACTGGGCTGGGGGTGATGGTAAAATAAGAAATCTTACAAAATTAACCTAGATATTACGCTTGCTCTAAGATGGGATAGCTTAGATTTAAAATTACCCAAATGGCTTAACCTGTCCTTCCTTTCCTTTGTTCCCTTTTCGGTGATGACTTCGTTGCAGTGGTGATCTTCCCTGAAGATAGCAGTAGTTATGTAACAGCAGATGTCCAGAGAGCATTTATTGCTTTAGAATAGATCCAGGTATTAAAACTCTATGTGTGCTCCCCGGGGTGGGAGTGGGGAGAATTTCTTCCCTGATGGGGCCCAGAAACAGTTCTCAGGCCACTAGGCATGCATTCTTTGTTCCGAACAAGGATACTCTAGTTTCCTGGCAGGAATTATGGGCTTTATAGCCTTCTCCCCTACAAAGCAAAATGGAAATCCACAGTGAGACAAGACTGTGAATTTCCAGGCAGAAATAGAGTTCTACTTTCATAGGCTGGTTTCTATTCCTGGACGCGGCTCTTGAGATCTAGTAGTCAGGAAGTTTGCTGCTAAGCCAGGGACTGGCTAGTAGAACTCTCCACAGCAGAAGGAAGCTCTAAGAAGCACATGTTGACCTAAGGAGTTTGTGTGTCCAGATTTCTAAAAACTCAGCCCATCTTTTCCTTCCTCTGATGTGTCTCTTTAATGTGTATCTCAATGGTGGATGAAGGCAGAGTTCTTGGTGAAGCTTTTCTCACACCGAAGGCACTTGTATGGCTTTTCCCCAGTATGGAGTTTCTGGGGAACAATGAAGATGGAGGTGTTGTTGAAGCTTTTCCCACACTGGGCACACTTGTATGGGCTCTCCCCAGTGTGGACTTGCTGGTGAGCACTAAGCTGGGAACTGTGGTTGAATTTCTCCCTACAGACAGAGCGCTGATAAGGCTTCTCCCCAGTGTGGGTGCTCTGGTGGACAATGAGTGTGGGACTCTGGTTGGAGCTTTTCGCACAATCCCCAGCCTGATACGGCCTCTCCCCTGTGTGAGTCCTCAGGTGGGCAGTGAGGTTGGAGCACTAACTCAATCCTTGCACATATCCACTGCACTTGTGAGGCTTCTCTCCTGTGCGGATTCTCTGATGCCAAACAAGAAAAGAACAGAAGCCCTGGCTGGTGTGGCTCAGTGGATTGAGCAGTAGACTGTGAAGCAAAGGGTTGCTCGTTCAATTCCCAGTTAGGGTACATGCCTAGGTCACGGGCCAGGTCCTCAGTGCAGGGTGCCCAAGAGGAAACCACACATTGATGTTTCTTTCCCCCTCTCTCTAAAAATAAATAGATAAAATCTTTTTAAAAAGTAAAAATAAGGAAAAGAACCTTGACTAAACCTTTTCTCACATTCATGACATTTAGAAGTTTTTTCCAGTTCAGGGACTGGCTGGTGATAAGAGGAGGGAGAACCCTGAGAGCATTTCTCCCACACAAGACGTGTCCACAGCTTCTCAGTCCAAAGTCTTTGGTGACTCATCCTCTCCTGGGACAGGGCTGTCTCCTCACTCTTTCCTGGACAATGTCTATGTTGCTTTCTTGACATTGGTTCACCCTCCCAGCCTGTTCTTAGCTCAGTGCCAAAACACTTCTCCACTAGACTTTCTCCATGAAGCCATGTTCATTTCTACTTCTTCTGAATCATCGTATTTCAGATGCTTTTTTAAAACCCCAATCTTCAACTCAAAATTACATTGAGAGGATAAAATTACATTGTACCCTGGAGAAGGAAAACAATGGAATGAGGAAAGAGTTACAACTAAACTACCATAAAGAAGAAATACCATACTGGAGTTCTTCATGTGCCTCGGTCTTCTGCTAGTGAAAAGCCTAAATTTTGTTTTCCAATTGTGATACTTTTTATCTCCAAATGTATGGTCACTGGTAAATATACCATTCACCTCCCCACTTCTCTGTTATTCTGCAACTTTTTGCACATTCTGACATGATGACAAAACTGAAGAGAAGAGTTAAGCTCTGTGTCAACTGTCAACCTGTCTATAGGTGCGTTCTCAATTCTTGAATGGCTTAGCTTCTGGGAGCCGAATCATAAAAGGACACCCCAAGTTTGGGCAGCTGAAACAAAAATAAAGTGTTTCTGAGTAGCTGGCAAGCACAGACTTAGGTTATGAAAGGAGGGAAGCAGAGAGAGTCTGGGCTGCAGGCTTAACTAAGCAACAAAGGAAGTGGAACTCCATGAGAAAAGATGACATGGACTCTGAAAAAGACCAGCAAATGCAAAATCAGGGCTCTAAAATGCAAGGGATATAATCCTTCAACTGCACAAAAACCAAAGCTCTCTGACCCGTATATGGTCATTCTTCAAGAGGAAGACAAGGCCAGGATCAGAAACAACCCATTCTAAGTGTACTTTCCCATCCTTTGACCATCAGAGCCAAGAGTCATACCAGCCTGTTTGGAAACAGGACTGGCCAGGTCAGCTCCCTATCTTCCTGGCCAAGGACCCTGAAGTCCTTCTCATCCCTGGCTGTACCATCTACAGTGGTACCTTCTCCAACCTCTGTGGGCTCCCTGTTCTGCTGACTCAGCTTTCCGAGTTCCACCTCACTTCCCTCTTGGCCAGAGACAGCATCACCTGCCACAGGAGGTGCAGAGGAGCTTGAAAGGGCATCCATTTCCTCATGAAAGAACACGGGTCTGGCACACGACCTCTCCTCGCTTTCCGGTAACCTGACTGTAGGCTTTTGAACTTGGTGTGACACTGCGCTGGGGTCCCCAGCAAACCCTGCTCCTGGATTTATTCCTCCCACAGCCTGTAGCTGTACTGATGGCTCTGGAGTTATGAAACAGCATTACCGAGAGTGGCTCGGAATGTCCTGGTCTCACTGCGCCAGGGCATACCTGCACCACGGGACAAAGAACACAGGGGTCAGATCAGAAAGGACTAGATACCTCAATGCAGGGTTTTAGCGGCCCAACATACAAATTTCTAAAACTATGCCAGACCTGGCTACCATCACGCGGCAGACAACTGAGAAAGATTGTAGCGTATTTACTAAAGCTGCCCTTTTTATTTCTCTCTAGTTATCCTGAATCCCACTCGTTTTCCCCGAGGGCAGTGCTTGCCTGTCGCCACGCTGGTGGGAATCCCTCAGGGGGTGTGCTCACATAAGGGGACTTGGTGAACAGGCAAGTCTTGGAGGGAAGCAAAGATTCTGAGAAGAGAGGGGCTGATCACAGGAGACTTCTGCCTACTCCCACCCACTTCTGTTGCCTGAGTACCACCTGATCTACCCACCTGCACCTCTTACATCTCCTGTCATCCTTGTAGAAGCAAGAAATGCTTGGGACATCGGTCACTATCCCAAGGTTAGAAGAAGCAGTCAGTGTCTGAAAAGAGCAGTTCAGGCTGACTGATGATACAAGATCCCTCAGCACACATGTCCCTGCACCCAGCTCTGTCCCAGCATCCCTTTCAAGGGGTCCCCATCTCAGCCTGTTGATGAGGGCTCACTTGCCTAGAGCTGGCCCGCCCAGCGCATCCTGATTACATCTGGTCGGGATGCTCGGCGGGGCACACAGCCTCTTTCATCGCCCCTCCTAGTCCACTCTCCTCTGGGCCACCATCATCTCACGCCTGGATTTCACAGTAGCCGCCTCCATGGTCTTGCTGTTTCTACTCTTGACCTCCTACAGTCTGTTCTCAACCCAGCAGGCAACGTGGCTCCTCTCCTTTTTCCTTTACACGTGTATTGAGTACCGATTGTACTTGTTTCTAAGAAATGCAAAATAGCAGTATGACATGGATCCTGCCGTCAGGGAGGCCAATCTTGTAAAGTCTGTAACATAAAAGAAACTGAAACAAATGTTGAAGTAGGCTTAAGTAGTGTTAAGCCAAAAAAGTTGAAATATTCAAAATTATTTTAAAGCTATTACTCCTCTGCTCAGGATGCTGCAAGGCTACCCTCTTATAACTAAACAGTCAAAGTCCCTTCAAAGTCCTCTAAGTAGGGATTCGTGACCCTAACTAGGTGATTCACAAATGACATATGAAAAACCGTTTATTCAAAAATACAGTAAGAATTCAGTTGGATAGTACAGCAGTGTCAAACGGCTACAAAAATCTCTCAACGCTTACTCTCAATTTCAGTTCACATGACTTCCAGTAGCACTGCCCTACGTCATCTGGCTCATGGATCTCATTTATTACTCTCAGCCTCTCTCAATCTGGTAGATCACGGTGGCCCCCTTGCTCAGGCTCCCCCCCAGCCTCAGAGCCTTTGCACTGCCTATTCTCTCTGTTACACTCTGCCCCCAGTGAACAACGTGGCTCATTCCTTCTCCTGCTAGTCTTTGTTAAAACGCCATTTTCTCAATGAGGACTACCCTAACCATCCAAATTGAAAATGAAACCCACCCTCCGTCACCACACTCTTAAAATAAAAAATCTATCTATCTATCTATCTATCTATCTATCTATCTATCTATCTATCTAGATATAGATATATAATTGATTATGCTATTACAGTGTTTCAATTTTTCACCTTTGCTCCACTCTTCCTGCATACCTCCTTCCCCCAGCATCCACTCCTTTAGTTTCTGTCCATGAGTCATGCATATAAGTTCTCTGGCCCCTCCATTTCCTATACTATTCTTAACATCCCCCATCTCTTTTGTACCTACCAATTACACCTAATACCTGCACCTTCTCCCTTATTCTCCTCTTCTCCTTCCCAGCTGATAACCCTCCAAATGATCTCCTTATCTATGATTCTGTTCCTGTTCTGGTTGTTTGCTTAGTTTGTTTTTTAAGATTTAATTGTGTGTAGTTGTGAATTTGCTGCTACTTTGATATTCATAGTTTTGATCTTCTTTTCTTAAATATCCCTTTAATAATTTGTGTAATAAGGATTTGGTAATGATGAACTCCTTCAGCTTTACCTTGTTTGGGAAGCAATTTATCTGCTCTTCCATTCTAAAGAGCTTTGCTGGACAGAGTAATCTAGGTTTAGGTCCTTGCTTTTCATACTTTTTTCAGTCCCTTCTTTCCTGCAAAGTTTCTTTTGAGAAATCAGCTGATAGTCTTATGGGAACTCCTTTGCAGGTAACTCTCTGCCTTTCTCTTGCTGCTTTTAAGTTTCTCTCTTTATCTTTAATGCTTGGCATTTTAATTATGATGTGTCTTGGTGTGGTCCTCTTTGGGTCCAACTTGTTTGGGACTCTCTGTGCTTCCTGGACTTGTATGTCCATTTCCTTCACCAAATTAAGAATGTTTTCTTTCACTATTTTTTCAAGTAAGTTTTTAATTTCTTGCTCTTTCTCTTCTCCTTCTGGCATCCCTATGATTCAGATGTTGGTATGTTTGGAGATGTCCTCAGGGTGCCTTATACAATCCTAGTTTTTTTTTACTTCTTTTTTCTTCTTGCTATTCTGGTTGAATGTTCATTTCTTCCTTATGTTCTAAACTGTTTATTTGAATCCTAGCTTCATCCCCTCCATTGTTGGTGCCCTGTAGATTTTTATTTCACAAAGTGAAAACTTCATTTCTTCCTGAGTCTTTTTTATTTTGTCACTCAATGAGTTCTTTGACCATCCTGAATTCTGTATCTGATAAGTTGGTTATCTCTTTTTTCCTGTAGTTCTTTTTCTGGGGTTTTGTTCTGTTCTTTCATTGGGGCCATATTTGTCTCCTCAATTTGGCAGCCTCCCTATGTTTGTGTCTGTGTATCAAGTAGAGCTGCTCTGACTCTCTGGCTTAGTAGTGTGGGCTATTGTAGAAAAAGCACCTGTAAGTTGTGTGGGGTGGAGCCTTAGGTAATCACCAGGGTGGGGCAATCTGCTTCATCATTTTGTGGCTCTCTGTTGGGGGAAGGCTTGGAGAGGGGACAATGCTGCTGCCTGGCTTCTAGAGGTGTGCCTGGCACTCACCTTTCCAGCTATTGCCCTGGTGCTGAATCCCAGAGAAAAGGTGGGTCTGCATGCATTTTAAGTCCATGCAGGTCCTGTAAGCAGAGTTTCCTGAAAATCTGGCAGTTTCTTCTGCCACCCTAACCCCCACTGGTTTTTACAGCCAGAAGTTATGAGGATTTATCTTTCTCATGTGAGACCCTGGGCTGTGCAATCTCGATGCCACAGCACGTCTCCACATGTCTCTGCACTTCTCTGCCCATTTACACTTCTCCACCTCTCCTACCGGTCTTGATGAATGTGACTTCTTTAAATCCTTAGTTGTCAGACTCCCATACAGCTCAGTTTTCTGATGGCTCTGGATGTTATTGTTTTGAGGTCTAGTCGTAATTCTTTCTGTGGTTGCATGAGGCAGTGAAGTATATTTACCTATGCCTCTATCTTGACTGGAAGTCTGCCCTTGCACCCTTGATCATTCTTATTCTTCTCCATTACCCTGCAGCTGCAATTGAACCTAATTCCTAGGATAATGACAACCTTTTGAACTCACACAGTAGCACCTACTTGGACCACCTTCCACAGAGAATATAACTCATTCCCCCAGCCAGCATCACCTTCATTCTTTTATGTTCTAGTGACAAAATCTAGGTATGACTGTAACATATCTGGCTTTGGCCTTCCAGTTTCACAACTCAAAACAAAGTCCCCTGGATTACCCAGACAACATAAGAGTTTAGGTACTGTTCTCCCCTATATAGAACATGCACCTGGCCAAATGAATGGCTTTACATTGGGTATCCACTATAACTTTTATACCAACATAACTGTAACAGTGAGAGAACAGGAGCCATCTTTAATTTATAGCTGGAAGACAAGACCCCGTTTGGGGGAGCAATTTGCTAATAGGTGATCAGTACCAGGACATATGTGAAGAAAGGTCCTCAACCAAGTGGCTCTGGAGCAGGTTATAAGTGCCAAGGCTCCCAGTTTTCAAGACTGGCTGCTTGTCCAATTTTTAGCTGAGTCCTTCACTGTCTCCATACTCCTCCTCATTTCACTTTCATTTGCATTGGCTTGTTCTTTTTGCTTTAGCAGTCTTGTCTGCCAAGCTCCTAGGAGAACTGGAGGAGTTTTATGAGGCCAGCAGACTTTCCATCTTCTTTTGAAAGGCACAGGGCTCTGGGCTTCAGCCTTGCCTTCCTCGACAGCAGCTTCTGAGCTAAATTTGACATTGCTCCAGAGTCCAGCATAAACCTCATTCACAGAACAGCTTAGCCACTTTCCTTTAGAGCTGGCTGCTTTGCTTGTGTACCTGGGCTTCCTTATAAAACTGAGGCTCACTAAGAACAGATAGAAAAGTCCTGGTTTCCTAAAAAACCCAGGGTGCACCTGTCACTTTTTCATCTGCCAAGTCTAGCTCTTTTGTGTGACCTCCTTTGCTAGTGTCTCACAGGCATCTAAATGAAAGAGCCAGGCACAAAAAGTCACATATTGGGTTGGCCAAAATGTCTGTTTACTTTTATCTGTAAAATAAGAGATATTTTTCATTTTCACCAATAACTTTATTGATTTGGATATTTTGAATGTGTTGGCTCTCTCCCTATTGATTGTTCTCAGTTAATGTCTCAGTTTGATTGCTGTCAACTTCAACTGGTCTGCCCAGCTGTGGAACATTGTCCAGAGAGAAGTTTCCAGCATGAAACTTCACAAATCACTTTTGGCACAGTTGATCAGTCATAGCACCTTCTCCATATACTGCACAAATCTTTTTTGTTTGTTTGTTTCAGTTGCATTTTTACCTCTTGAAATAAGAAAGCATAATATGCTGAAAATGTTGAGTATTTTCTTCCATTTTCAATATTTAAATGGCTACACAAAAATTCACCAATTCTGATGTTTTTAAGAAAATGCATGCTGATATGACAGCTGTCACAGTACAATCTAACAAAAATTGTTTCAAATGAAGTTAAAGACAACTAAGCACTAGGAGAGCCATCTTACAGAAAAAACCAAACGAACTTTTTGGCCAAACCAGTATTTCAGATTCCAATTCTATGAAATGTACAGAATAGGCGAATCCGTAGGGAACAAGGAGCAACCATTTAATGGGTACAGGATTTACTTTGGAGGTACGACAATGTTTTGGAATGATGTGATTGTACTTAATGCCACTGAATTGTTCACTTAATAGCTAATTTTAAGTGAATTTCACCTAAATTAAGATAATTTCTAATTAAAGTTTTTTTCTTAAATAGTGAGACAAGTAAAAACAAGAGAGTTTCATAAGAAAGGCAAAAATAATAGAAATGTATTCTGAAAGCGATTAAGCTGGGTAGGGTGGGGCAGCAGTTCATGTCTTAAGTACATGAAGAACTCCTATACAGAATGTCAGCATAAACATGTTCATATTAATACAACTGATTGTAAAGTAATAGAACGCATAGGATCTCCACCCCATGTACATGCTATTAACTAATTTGAAATCTTGCCCCACCTGCTGGACCCTCTAATCCATTCCCTCTCTACGTCGAGTCCAGTAGATGTTTCAAAAATGTAAGATCCTGTCCAGTCCTATTAACACTCTTCAGTGGCTTCCTACTGCACACAGAATAAAATCCAAACTCTTGCACAGCCTGAAAGGCCCCACATGCTTTGGCTCCCGCTTCCCTCTCTCACTTTCTCTCATATCACTTTTCTCCTTGATCCTGAAGCTCTAGCCACAAACCCTCCCTTCTTTATCAAACATGCAAAGTCCTCCCCACCTGAGGCTCTTTGAGTGTGCTGTGCCCTAGGACTGTAGTGCTCTCCTCTCAGCTATAAGTACAACCAGCTCCTTCTCTTAGGTGTCAGCACAAACGTCCCCTCGAAATGTCCTTGCCCCACCTCCCGTCTCCCCAGGTCATTCTCTATCAGGTCCCAGTTCATTCCTTCAGAGCACTCCACAGCAACGACTCCGACACTTTACGGCTCACAGGGGAAGACCGCAAGAGGGTGACACCCACTGCCAAGTCGCCAGGAGGCCAATCTAGGCGTGCAGTTTGGACACTCGGTGGCATTAACTCTTATGCTGCCAGGCTGAACTGGAGCTGGAGGCCGATTCTCTTCTGCACGTCCCTGAGTCTTGGCGCTCGCAGACTCAGAACAGCTGCACCGGGCTTGGCTGGAAGCGCTTAACTTGTGTTTCCAGTAGCAGCGCAGGCCCCAGACTCAAGTAGCAACGGCCTCATGCGGTGAGAGGGGCTTGTGGACCTTCGCCCTGACCCTTTGCTCATAGGCTAGCTCAGCGATGTTCTCGGATACCAGAGCTTCGAGCGGCTGACAGTTGCAGTTGAGATGTAGGAAGAGGGTGTGGCCTATTAGAAACCGAGCTCTCCGAGGTAAGCAGGAATCAGTTTCCCTTAGGTGTAGGCTGCGGAGCCTGGGCCAGTTGCCGGGCGTTGCTGGAAGCGAAGCGGCCAATTCTTGTGGCCGGCCGGGCGGCCGGAGCCTGAGGCCAGACTGCCCGGGGCAAGGCCGGCCCTCCAGCTCAGGAGGCCAGAATTTCTGCCCTTTGCACAGACAGCTCCTGGGCTCGCGGTTGCTCTTCAGAAATGTCCAAGTTTCCGCCTCCGCTGGCGTGTGTGTGTGTTCGTTTTTCGGGCTGATGTTAACCGCCGGAGAACCGCAGTAAGCATCAGAGAGATCAGACATTCTCCTGATGCAAAAGGATGAGAATTTGTCTCTGGGCCTCCTGAGCCTGCGTAGGCAGCGAGGAGCCAGCCTTTTGTGAATACCGTGGCCGAATGAGGCTCACGAGGTTCTCCTTAGCCTCCCTTAAAAAAATCTAAAAGATTCTTGAAACGTAAAGTCAGCAGAAGGATCAACTTAATCATCACCAGCTCCCATTCCCCTCTTTTTTCCTTTTTCTTTCTTTCTCTTTCTCTTTTTCTTTTTCTTTTTTTTTCTTTTTTTTTGCGATTTGATATTTGGATAAACATTTTGTAAAGAAAGGTCGGCTGTAGGTTTTCTTATTTCAAGTAGAGAAATTTTAAAATAGGTATAAATCTGTGTGTGCCCTTCATGGGCCTTGCAAAGAAGTGTCAAAGAAGAATGTTGAACATCTAGTTACTTAATTGAAGGATGCTTTCTGAAAAGAAAATGCTACCTTTTTCCTAATTACTTTCCTTCTGCTATGTCCTCACTGTTTCAGCTCCCATTCTAGTGTTTATACAAGACAAGGAAGAGTCTCATATGCTCCACGAAGTGAAGGTTTCCGTCATCACAAAAGGATGGGAGGGTCATAGAATTTGTACTCTTACTAAAAGCAGAAGACTAGGGTGATAGGTAAAATGTAAGAAAAACTCAGAATATTCTCCTCATCTTTTGACATGGGGAAGTTGAGATAGGACAGGCAATAATGAACTCTTTGGATAATGCCGAAACTCTTTGGAGCCAGTGGGTGCAACAAGGCTTTTTTTTTTTTTTTCCCCCAAGAAAAGGAGAGAGACATTGAGAGAAGTATCGATTTGTTGTTCTACTCATTTATGCATCATCGGTTGATTCCTGTACGTGCCTTAATCAGGGGTTGAACCCACAACCTTGGTGTATGGGGAGGTCACTCTTAACTGAGCTACCCAGCCAGGGATCACCCACCAACATTTTGTGATTTTTTTTTTAAAGCAGAGTCGTCATCACTTGGCAATTATCTTCAGTGAACTTTGCTATAGTTAAGTTGAAAAAAGGGGAGAAAGGGCCTGGCAGTTGATTGTTAAAGGGAAGGCAAGGCAGTATGTTTTTTCTTCATTTTCACATAATAAGTAGTAAGTAGTAAAGTTCATGTGACTTTCTTAGTGACCTGCCCTTTTTTTCTATCCTCAGAGACTTAAGAGGAAGATTCTTTTTGTTCCAGACCACACTGGCCTCAGTTTTCAAAGGTAGTGCTGGTGGTATGTTCAACACAGGAGCAGATTGTTCCAGAGTAGTATGATGACGGTAGTTCTGAAGGTGTCTGAGTATTAGAATCCTTAGGTCAAAGTTCTGTGGGACACTAAGGGACCTGTGACAGAGAGCTCCACTCAGGGTAAGAAATGTAGTGCACAAATGGTCAGTCTTAACTGGAGAGCTCTTGTCAGCACTTTCAGAACTTCCGCTATCATGAAGCAGGTGGACCCCGTGAGGCTCTTGGCCAACTTCAAGAATTATACCTAGGCCAGAGTTCTGCTCAAAAGAGCAGATCTTGGTACTGCTGGTACTAGAGCAGTTCTTGACCATTCTGCCCAGGAATGCTGAATCTTGGATGAAGAAGCACCACCTACGGAGCATTGAAGAGGCTCTAGCCTTGGTAGACCACTTGCAGAGTAAATCTGCTCAAATGAGGAATGGGGTGAGAAGAAAAATTCCTGATACATAACAATGAAATAGGATTAAGGTGGATATATGGGGCGTCGGGGCATTTAATTGAGAAATAAGATGAATTAGGACAATGATCTACTGTGTCTTTAGGCCATTTAAGGCAGAACAAGAAACCACAGACACGCAGCAGTAGTCATTCCACAGATTCCATAGACTCTGGCAGAGACTTCCATGGTCTTAGAGAAAGAGTTGGTTTTTTTCCCTCTTTAGAGCAGCATGTATTGAGGGTAATAACCTAGTCTGGCTTGACCTACAAGAAGGGTTTTAAGTTATTAGAAACAAATAAAGGGCAACAAGGAGTTGGAAAATAAGGGGGAGAACAAAAAGTGGAGTACACTTAGAGACAAAGGGGAGAGAAGATAACAAGGAGAAAGAAAAAAGAGAAACAAAGATTTGTAAATGTCAACCTAGTGGCTGAGAGAAGAAAGATGCTGAGGGGTAGTGTCTTCCACACCATGGTTAAGAGCCTCTACTGCTCTCCCTTAGCGGTTGGTCCTTGGTGCTGCTAGTGAGTGGGAATCCATGGTATGCCCTTGGGCAGGTGGCAGCATATCAACTGGCTTTATGTCTCCTGTGTAAAACACAGGTCAGGACATATGTTAAGTGTCAAAATCATCTGGAGGGAGGTTGGAGCCAGCATATTTCCTCCCCTTTTTCCATTTTATCCATGTTCTCTGTAAAAAACCTTCCCTGGCCATGGAGAAAATATGGTTGATAGGAGAATTAATTTTTTTAATCTTTTGAGAAAAGTATAAGACAAGAAATCACTGCAGCAGGGATCTAAGTGAGGAGAGAAAGGCTGTCAAGACAGCACGAGAACAGGCGGCCTGCACAGCCCTGCCAGTGGTCTGAGCAGGGCTCCCTGCAGAGGCGTGGGGGTTGACGTGTTGAAAGGCTAGCAATAGCCACACTTTTTTTTCTTTTGTCCTAAATTTCCCAGATTTTGTTGAAAATTGGTGGCCCGTTATCTCAAGTCTTTTTGTCATTTCCTTTAGTGTTTCACACTTCCCATAGTCTGGACTCTATGCCTTCTCCTCCTTCCACCACAAGTCCACAAGCCTAAAGTAAGTTCTGGTAACAAAGATGGGAATTATTTCCAGGTTGCAGTCCGTGTGCTGGGAAAGGAGGCAGTGCTATTCGGAGAAACAGCAGAGACCCCAGACTTCAAACTGAAGCCAGCGGCAGTCCAGCCAGTGGGCAGGTCCCAGGGTGAAGATCTGCAACAAGAGCTGAGCAGGAATACTCATAAAGAAACTGAGCCTGTGTGTGAGAGGGGTAAGAAGCTTCATGATAATTTCTGCTGTGAGAGTAATTTGTTCAGCCAGAACATTGTGAGCATTTTCTGGGTGCCCAGCCCTGTGGATGTGCAAATGCAGCCCTGTCCCCATACGCAGATGGCCTTAGAATAGACCAGCTGTAGGTGAAGGTGGGGGTTGGCCTTAGCTACAGAAATATCCAAACCAAAGGACCATAATAAGCACCATAGTGTTCATAACACTATGAACACTGTTCTCAGAAAAGTGGAAAGGAGGAGCCCTGGCTGGGTAGCCCAGTTGGTTAGAGTGTCATCCTGATACGCCAAAGTTGTGGGTTTGATCCCCGATCGGGACACGTGCAAGAAGCACCCAATGAATTATATAAATATATAAAGTCAATGTTTCTCTTGCTCTCTCTCACTTTCCTTCTCCCTTTCTCTATAAAATCATGTACTGGAAAAAATAATAAATGATAAACAATACATCTACTCTACACTGGACTCCATGAGTATTTCATTTTCAAATCTGTTACTTTTTTTTTTTTTAACTCAGAACTATTTATGTCATGAGAGAAAAATAAGGAGGGTTTTTGTTGTATTAATTTTTCTTTTGAAAACTGGGGGGCCTGTTCTGGGAGTTGATAGATATTCAGTTCTTATTAACAATGATAAGGCCATTTATGGGCACCACACACACTTGTAAAGATTTCCCATCTACTGAAAGAGTCAAGATCTTCTGTATTTCAGAAATGAGCTCAGGATGTACATAGAAGTAAAAGAAATTTCTTTTTTCTTTTAAATTTTTATTTAATTGACTTTGAGAGAGAGAGAGACATTGAGCTGTTTTTCCATTTATTTATGCTGTCATTGGTTGATTCTTTATGTGATTGGAAACCAAACCTGCAATCTTGGCATATTGGGATGATACTCTTAACCAACTTAACTACCCAGCCAGGGCAAAAGTGAGAGAAATTTCTTATGGCTCTTTTCTACCTACAGCTGTGCCTGTTCACCAGATCCAAGACTTTCCTGAGCAGACAAACACCAAAGATTGGACAGTGGCACCTGAGCTCTTCTTGCCTGAGTCACAGGTGAGCTGTGCTTTTGAGCCGCTTAGAGCTGCCCTTTCCTGCTGCCTGTGACCCACACTGCCCAGCAGGTGCTCAGAGGCATGTTAGCCCAGATGTTCTCCCTGGGGAACTGGTCACCTCCCAGGCTGTTTGCTGACCCCTTGTCTCCTTCCCTTCTGCCTTCTCAATTAAAAAAAAGTGCTGGGCTTTGGCCAAGTAGTTAAGCTGGTTACAGCATCATCCCAATATGCCAAGGTTGTGGGTTTGATCCTTGGTCAAGACACATGCAAGAGGCAACCAGTGAATGCATAACTAAGTGGAACAACAAATCATTGTTTCTCTTTTTCTATCTCCCTGACTCTCTCTCTCTCTCTCTCTCTCTCTCTCTCTCTCTCTCCCCCCTTATAAAATCAATAAGCATTTTTTTTAATGTGCTGTAAATTCCTTTGGCCTACCATGCTATTCATGGGCCAGATGTTATGGCTGCTTCTGGAGTGGCCAGTACTAACTAAACTGAAGCCCATTCTCTTCCTTAGAGCATGTTGACATTTGAAGAAGTGGCCGTGTATTTTTCCCAGGAAGAATGGGCATTACTGGATCCCAGTCAGAAGGCTCTCTACGGTGATGTCATGCAGGAAAACTATGAGACTGTTATCTCTTTAGGTAAAGGTTCTCCCCTTCCCTATTTGTAGAAGTTGAGTAATCTGTCATGTGTTTTTACTTACTGGGAATGCACCCTTGTGAGAGAGTCTGTTCCAGTAGCTCATTGGTTCTGAACTCGATGGTGTGGGCAGGGGAAGGGTGAGTGCAGATCACTTGGGCGCTTTTTGTAAGTACACATTCCTTACATTACAAAGAATTCTTGATCTCTTTTCCCTCTTCCCCCACAAACCTGCTCTTCTCATATCTTTCTCTACTCAGTAAAGGACACCTTCATTACCCAGTTGCTCGGCAAGAAAAATACCTTCATTGTTTACTCTTTTCGTGCCATCGTATCCCACTATTAATGTAACACTAGTCCTTTGTATTCCACATTCACAGTACAGTCTGAGTTCAACCATGTCTCATCCTCTTGTGCTGTTAATATCCAGGTCTAAGCCATCTCTAAGCAGGCCTACTTCACTACCTTTCTAACTGGCCCTTCCTGCGGTCAGTCTTGCCCTCCCATAGTTTGTTTTCTATGCAGCAACCAGAGTCTCTTAAAACCTGACCAGATCATGACATTTCCCTGTTTCAAAACCTTATGATGACTTCTTGTCCATTCAGAATAAAATCAAACCTCTTTACCAAGACTCCTAGAACCCTCTCGATCTGCCCTCTATTACTTCTTTGCCCTCAACTCCTGACACTAGTGCCTTAGTTCTCTTTAGCCACAGCAGTCTGATTGCTGTTGTTTGAAATTGCCATGCTCATTTCTATTTTCTGCTTCCCTCTGCCTGGCACACTTTTCTGCCATGTGGCAAAACTCGCACTTTCAGGTCTGCTCAAATACCACTTTCTCAAAAGGGCCTTCCACCCAGCCGTTTCTCAAGTAGCTTCACAGAAGCAGAATCTTAAATTCTCTCTTATCCTGCTTTAGTTTCTTTTAAAACATTTATCATTTTCTGACATTTCATTTGACTATTGATGTTTGATTGTCTCACCATCCCACTAGAAGATAAGTTGTCTGAGATCAGGGAACTTTGGCTTATGTATTACCATATCCCTAGTTCATAGAGTATGGCACACTGTAGACACTCAGTACACATGTTGGAAGACTGAATGATGAATTCTTCCCATATTTGATCATTTGTAGTTACAAAAAGCCCACTAAGTGATTCTGGTCCGTTTCATCCAACGGGATGTGAAGCAGTGAACCATAAGAGTGGTACAAATAATAGTCTATTGTCTGGTGTGTTCTGCTGCTAAATAGAAAGTTAGTATAATTATGACAGGAATCACCTATTTGTATGATTCCCAACCCACTGACTTCACATTGGCACTGCTAACCAGATCTTATTCAGGGTGTCTCCTAAAGAGTTAATAGGACCTGCCTGAATCCCCTACAGCCTCCAAAGTTTTATTCCAGCTTGGTCAAGTGTGGGGTTATTGGTGGCAAGAAGATGGGGAATATACACAAGATCCCCATGCCCTATGTCTTTTTCATTGATCAAGCTAGATTTATTTCGTTTTTTCCTCACTTGAGTGTATGTTTATTGATTTTTAGAGAGAGAGGAAGGGAGGGAGGGAGAGAGAAACATTAATCCGTCACGTCTTGCATGCACCCTGACCAGGTATCAAACTCACAGGTCAACCAGCTGATCCTCCCAGCCAGTGCAAGCTAAGTTTATTTCTTAATCTCTACTTTGCACGTCCACTTATCAATGCAGTATAATGTAAACCTGATAGCTGATGTGTGAGTCTATCCATTTAACCATTTGCGGTAACAAACTATAGAAGTGTTTCCTGCTGTTCCTGAAATAGTCTATAATTAGTGAACATTGTTAAGTTAGCAGTCCTTGACCTCAGTTTTTTCATTTCACAGCCATGTTTGTGCACCCCAAACCTAAAGTGATCTTTCTAGAGCAAGGGAAAGAGTCACGGGTTCAAGGATCCACAGAGTTCATGGACAGTCCTGGAGTGCTACCCAAAGGTAAATACACCTGTGCCTTAATAGGAACCTTTGCAAGGACTTAACATTTTAAGATTCTACTTATCTATATTTTAAAATCAAGTGATCATTGAATTTTTGTCTTTATTCCTAAGGTTTTCTTGCTCTGCCATATAGCTGGTTGATTTTTATGATTATTTCAACAGGATTAAAGCTCAAAAATGACACTGAAAATCATCAAAATCATCAATCTGTATGCCTTCCTGACTTAGAAATGCAAACACCAGGAGACATAGTTTCAAAAGTGGACAGAGTGAAAATTCCCCAGAAATCAACAATCAAAGAGAATCATGGTGATATGCACAGGGTGGGGAAATGGCACCAAGATTTTTCAGTAAAGGAAAGAGAGAAACTTTCAGCCTGGAGACAAGAGCTGGTGAAACTTATGGATCGTCACAAGAAAGAACGTGCAGGAGAGAAGTTTTTTAAATGCCAGGAGTGCAGGAAAAGCTTCAGAGTTAGCGCTGACCTTATTAAGCACCAAAGAATTCACACTGAAGAGAAACCATATAAATGCCAACAGTGTGATAAGAGGTTTAGATGGAGTTCAGATCTTAATAAGCACTTCACATCACACCAAGGATTAAAACCATATAAATGCTCATGGTGTGGGAAGAGCTTTGGTCAAACTTCAAATCTCCACACACACCAAAGAACTCACACTGGAGAGAAGCCCTTTACATGTTATGAATGTGGAAAAAAGTTCAGTCAGAACTCCCACCTTATTAAACACCGGAGAACCCACTTGTAGCCTATGATTATTTCAACAGGATTAAAGCTTGAGAATCTTCAGCATGCAGTCAAACCTTAGTCACCAGAAATTCCCTGGTGAAGGGAAGCTTGTCCAGTGTCCTCAGTCTGAAGAATTTTACCAAGTGGAGCTTGACGCTTAAGTTTATGAAAAATGCAAATTTATGAAGCATGAAAACTTTTTCATCAGTGGAAAATTTGGGGATATAAATGTTGCACAGGGAGGAATCAAGTTGGACTCTGCAGGGGATGCCTTAATAGTTGTATTATTTACTGTTTTTACTTATACCTTTAGGGAGTTTCTTAGCAAAAGGTGTTCAAAGAATATTCTGAATGAGGGAAAAAATCTGTGGCATGGTCTTTCAAAACAAAAGCAGTAACATCCTTGTTTTATTGCATACCATTACTTCAGAGTAGTAGCATTATCAATTTCAATAATCTCATAGGATAGAGATGAAGTCTAATGTAAAGTTATCCAAGAACCAAATTGGATTTTCTTCCTCTCTTCTGTCATTGGACATCACGTGAGTTCCTTCTTGAACTTTTTAGCTACTTGAGCTCTTGAACCCTATTAGCACAATTTTTCTGTAATGAAATCTTTTACTTCTCCAGTAGGGAATCTACTAGTAATATATTATACCTCTCATTGGTGGTGTTTGAAAAAGGAAAACATTTCTAATGAGATCATATGGAAACAGGTTGGAATTTTTAGCCATGGAATATGTATTAGATGTGAAGAAGAATTTTCTGCAATAACAAAGTAAACTGTTTCCTTCCCTCACAAAGTCAACAGAATAAAACAGTCATAAAAGTTAGCACTTTCCTGAGGCCCAAAAGAAAATTAACTTCTCAGGATTTTGTTTGTTTTCTTATTAATTGGCTTTTTAAAAAAAAATCCTCACCCGAGGATATGTTTACTGATTTTAGAAAGAGGAAAGGGGAAAGTGGGGAGAGAGAGAGAAAGAAAGAAACTTCAATAGGTTGTTTCCTGTATACACCCCAACTAGGGGTTGAATCTACAACCTAGGTAGATGCCCTGACTGGGAATTGAACCTGTGACCTTTTGGTGTATCAGACCACTCGCCAACCAACTCACCCACCCAGCCATGGCTGGCTTTTGTTTGTTTTTAAGAATAAAGAGAGTTATGTTGGGGAATTGGACGGTGCTGCAGGCAGGATTCTGTGGTTCACTGGGAGTGGTGAACTAGGAATTCAGTCAGCCTAAGACCAGGTTTCCAAAAAGAAATGTTTGAAGATTGATGCTGAGTGTTGGGCAAAAGTGGGAAAATCCACATCTGTGTTCGTTGTCATATACTGTCAACTCTTAGCAGGCCTAGTTGACCAGTGTCTGTTTTCTCCAGTACAGTATTTAGCAGTAGCTTTGGGAGATAAGTTTGATAGACTGCTAAACATTTCTCTAGGCTGTGGGTTTTCTAATAATTTGCCCTTTATGTACCTTTCCCTTTGACTCAGATTTGTTCCTGTTAGAGCTTTTAGGTAGTATCTGAAAAAGAGTTAAATTATTTCTTCCAAATCTGTTATTTCATAAATGAAGAAGTTAAGGCTCAAATATTCAGGGACTTGTTCAAGGCCCCAAAGCTAGTGGGTCTGTTGGCTGTCACTTAGCTTTATCAATCAAGCCTGAGGGCAGGATTACGGGGGCTTTGTATGTTATCTCTCCGGAGCCAGCCTAGAAGACTTGGTATTGTATCTATTTCTATCTTGTGAAACATTCCTATTTTTTGATTGGTTACTGAAACACTCTTAAGTCTCTATTTTCTATGAAATAGAGAAAATACTCACCTCAGTTGATCTGGAGATTACAGGGACTGGTGAAAGAAAAGCAACAGTAGATGCTCAATCAGTGTGCACTTCTTTCCCTTTTCCCTGTTCCCCAGATATGTTGGGCAGACTGACTACATTTAAGAAGCAGATGCATTTGTAGCTCTTGCAGCTCCTTTCAGGAGCTGAACCCTGGTGGTAAGGGTTATGCTGATTTGATGAAGGCCAGCTGTGAATCTCTAGTCTGCATCGCTCTTACCCAATAGCCTCAGCCTTAGACTCCTGGGACTCTCTTCTCCCAAGATGCATGTAGATTTTTTCCTGGCTCTATCCATTCATTTAATTTGATGAGGGCCTATTATGTGCCCAGGCACTGCTGTTCTAGACCAAGAATATAGTAGTAAACCAAAGAGAAAAAAAAATGCATAGCCTTATGCAGCTTGTATTCTGATGAACGGTTAAAAGGAGAATGATTATGTTCTGCTTCTTGCAGTTAGACAGGGTCATTGATTCATTTTGGTAAATGGGTTGTGAGGAGAAGTCTCACTTCTGGTCTGAAGCATTTATTTGTTGGTGCAAGACCATGTAATGCTCTCTCCCTGCCTCAGTTATGGAAGCACATACAGAGAGAGGAGCCATGAGATCAAACCAGTCTGGAATGCTGTTTTCCTTACTTGGCAGGAGAGCTGGTTTAGAGAGTCCCAAGACCTACAATGGGCTTTGTAGGAATGAGTAAACTTTGTGTTTAAACACAGGTGTTGGCGCTGTGTGTTTCTGCAGCATAACCTGGCCTGTTTCAAAAGTTCAAGTTCTTAGTGACCACAGTCATCTTCTTCCTGGCCTCTGTGGGCTTTACCCTAGTCACCTGTGACTACATTGTCAAAGCTAGCCAAGGAACTGTATAGCTAAGGGCAGAGAGAAGCAAAGGCTTTGGAACCTGAAATTTCCAGGTAGTGGTGGACTACTCTTTAGCACAGTCCCCTCTGACTAAATCTAAGAACAGCTACGTTCTTAATTAGACCAAGTTCCTTATCCTTATCCTGTTTTTATAGTCAAATCCATGCTCTGCTCTCATCTATAGCCCGAGGAACAAAGATCTTAAGGGTGCACTGAAGAAGTTTCTAGGTGACTGAGGAGACACATGACTAGGGCTACCTAGAAGCCCTTGCTTTTCACAGTCACATTCTGCTAATTCTCTTTCCTGTCACTATAGTCATCTAGTTACCTTGCCCTCGGAATAGGGATGCAGCAAGATACCTTAGAAAGTTCATGACACTAGGACCCAACACACTTGAATATTTTGTTGTACTCTGCAACTATGGTAGTCAATGGATCTCTCTAACACTATTTCACCATCTGTAAAATGAATATAATAGCTGGCAAGTATGTTGTAAAGACCCAAGTAGGTAATCTGTATGGGTGTGCTTAGATTAAATTGCTCAGTGTTATACTTAATCAAAGATGACGTATATAACCTACAGAGGTGTATCAGTCTATTTCACTTTTCATCTCCCTGCATTTATATCCTGATGACCTACTTTGCCTTTATTGTGCAACAAAGAGTCTTCAGAAATTATTTAGGGATGAAGGGGGGAAGAAAAAAAGACAGAGAGACCATATAGAAACTTCCACTGTTCTTTTCTTCATACTACACATCCTAATCCATTAGCTCCCTTTTGAATAAATTTCCAGAATATTGCAATTTAGACTAACACACATGAAAATTAAGGAAAGTGTTTGTCATATCAAAAGGAAAATTATACCCTTGCTGATGTGGCTTGGGTGGAGATTGTCTTATAGCCAAAAGGTTGTGGATTCAATCCCCAGTCCTGGCGTGTACAGAAAGCAGCCCATCAATATGTCTTATATCACTGTTTCTCTCCCTTCCTCTCTAGAAGCAATGAAAAAATGTCCTCAGGTGAGGATAGAAAAAATAAAAAGGAAATGATTGAAGATTGAATATGTTATAGTACATGCCTTAATGCAGGAGTTTTTTAAATAATTTTTTAAAAAAAAATCCTCGCCTGAGAATATGAAGCTTGTCTGGAAAAAGTCCAGCCATTGTTAATATAATGAGAACGGTTTGCACGACATTGATGTAACCTGGCAGCCAAGGAGAGTGGACTGTAATGTGCATGTGTGAACAATGATGACTTCACTGTACTAGTCAGTGGAGGCTGTAAACCCTGTTGAGTGAGGATGTGTACTGTGTGGCCATCGCATTCAAAATGACTGAGTGAGTAGAGCAATGCATCTGCATCAAATTTTGCATTAAGCTTGAACATTACTCCACGGAAGCTATTCAGATGATACAGAAGGCTTTTCAGGACGATTCAGTGAGTGTGGGGCAAATAAAAGTGTGGCACAAATGCTTTGAAAATGGCCACAAATATAGTAAACACATTCTGGAAGGCCTCCAATAAGTAGAACACCTGAGAATGTTGAACGTGTATGGGCTGCAGTCAACAAAGATTGGCCACTGTCAGTGTGAGAACTATGAGTAGAAGCTGATCTGGGAATTCCAAAAACTACTGTGTCTGAGAATTTGATGCAGAATCTTGGCATGAAACATGCTGGGGCAAAATTCGTTCCATGGTTTCTGGTACCAGAGCAGAAGGAACATCATGCTGCAGTTGCTAATGACTTGATTCAAACTGCTACAAATGAAGCAGATTTCCTCAAAAGGGCACAACCAGAGGTGAATCGTGGATCAATGGCTATGATCTGGAAACAAAGGTCCAGTTGTCCCAATGGAAGTCGCCTGGCTTTCCACACCTGAAGGTGTGGCAAAGTTGCAGCAAGATCGAGACCATGTTAACTGCGTTTTTTGATTGGGAAGGCATTGTCCATCACAAGTACCAAACAATTAATAAGGCGTACTACCTCAATGTTCTTTGTTGGTTGACAGATGCAATAGGATGAAAACAGCCACAGCTATGGGCAGCTAACTGGTGATTGGCAGCTTCATGACAACATGCCCACTCATGCATCACGTCTCATGCAGTTTTTTGGCAAAACATCAAATAACCTAGGTGACTCAGCCTCCCTACAGCTCAGATTTGGTGCCCTGCAACTTCTGCCTTTTCCCAAAACTAATATCACCTTTGAAAGGGAAGATATTTTAGTCTGTTGGTGAGGTTCAGGAAAATATGACAGGGCAGGCTGATGGCAATTGGAACTGTGCAAGGTCCCAAGGTGCCTACTTTGTAGGGGAC